ATTCAATAATCTACCCTTTCAGCCTATCATTTCTATATCTTTTTTTAGAATAGATTCAATAATCTACCTTTTATCTTATCATATCTATATCTTATTTTTTTCTTTTCAAAACAAGAACCCTGAATCTAATCTCCTGGTTAACCTTTTTTCCTGATCACTATCAGTAAACAACTTGTAACCAACCATCCTAAACAATGACAATTATCCATAACCCATTGAATGACCAAAAACCACCCACCTCACCTCTTAAGAATGTGGGTGTTGTGCTCTTAAATTTACTTCCTGCTGTCTGGGGGTGAAGGCATCTTTAGGGGATTCTGAAAAGAAAAGTTTTAGGTTAATTGTCAAGTCCTAGGAGAAATAGCTGTATTATTTTTTGTCCAGTCTCTGGGGAAGGGCAGGGCTTGTCTAAAGTCCTAGCTATAGCAGTCTGTGAGGCTGTATCATCTCAGCTAACCATCTCAAAATTGTCCTGAACAGTTTGTAGTCCAAAGCTGATCTTTAGGTGGTGTTTGTCAGCATTATCATCGTCCTGATGGAATCGTCTTTTTGGAGACTTCAGAGATTTCATTAGGTCAGATTGTTTCTTTTCTTGGTAATTTTTTCCAGATAGTTCTCCCTTCTTCTTGAGATGCTTATTTGTCCAAAGGTCTTTAAATTCCTCAACATGGTCATTTTCATTGTCCTGAAAGCACAAAAACAATACCCTTTCCCAGCCCTAACTTTGGAGAGTTTCCAAATCTAATCTTTATCAGTTTTGACTTATGGTTTCTCCTGAAATTTTTGTTCTCTTTTCTATAGCTGTTCTATCATCCAGAACAGTATGGTTTCTTATAATAGGCATTAGGTTCTTTAACTGCTCTGGGAAGGAGTTTCCTTCACAATGACAGGAAATGACTGAACTGAATTTAATGTGGGGGCCTGGGAGAGGCCCCTCAGGGCATTTCCCTATGGCAAAGACAAGGGATTACCTTGTCTGTCCCTTGTTGATCTATGTTTGTTAGTCCAATGTCTGCCTTTGCCACATCTTCTGAATAACCCAAAAGGGAGGGACATTCT